AAGATTTGAGAAGGGTGGCCTCTGTTATCTTGGGGACAGTGGGAAAGCAGGAAGGCCAGCTCATTAGGACAGATGAAGCAAGGAATAGTCAGATCTGTGAACAGCGCCAAGGGGAATACGAAAGGGGTTGGCGTAGTGGACAGGGAGGGGGAAGGGGCAAATACAGGGGAGGGACTTTCATCGACCCAGAAAGATGAAGAGTCATCCATGAATCTTAGGAGCAAGAGCAAGGCTCGAGATCACACGGGAAGGGAATATCGATGAGGCAAAAGAAGAGAAGTGAAGACGCTGCCAACGCTTCCCTTTCTGCAGAAAGAACGACGTTTGGATGATAAGGAGGGCTCCGAAGAACTGTGTTATAGGCAAAATTAATACTTCCCAATGAAATTATTTTTATGTATTTATTTTTTTTTAAAAGTTGAAGCTCTTTTATTTCTGGTAACTATAAGTTCAGATCCTCTTAAAAATTATTTAAAATTCGTTTGACAATTCTGATTTCAAATGATTTACCACTTTCCTCATAATACAAGAAATTTATAACAGTTGAAATCTGTTTACCTCTTATTCTTTGTACTTACATTGACATATAGTTTATCTTTTTTTTATTAAATCATAGCTGTGTACCTTAATGCAGTCACGGGGTACAATGTGCTGGTTTTACTAAGATCTGGAATGCTTTTGTCAAACTGGTTAACATAGCCTTCACAGCATTTTCTTAGTTATTGTGTTAGGACATTTATATTCTACACCTAGTAGATACCTTGTAAGATGCGCCGTAGGTGTGGTCCTACCAATTATGCTCTCTCCACCCATCCTCCCTCCCTCCCCCCCTGGCCTCTCTCTCCCCTTTCCCTTTCTTCTTGGGCTGTAATTGGGTTATAGTGGCAGTAATTTAGGTAACAGATTTTCAAAGCATCACAAAGTGCATCTTGTAGTTTTGATCACATTTGAGAGCACTCCTCTTCTAGTAACATTTTTCTCTGGGTTTTCTCTCTTCCCATCAGTTAGCTGACCGTAGGAAAATGAGGATTTCTGAGATGTCAGATATCTCAGATGGGACTTTTCTTCAATAGCCGTGTACACAGGTGCTCAAAGTAAATAATACATAAGTTTCATGTGTAAGAGGCTTGACTTAGTTTTAAAAACATGAGCCAGTCATTAGTAGGTTAACACTGGGTTAGAAAAGACTGCACTGACATCATTTTTAAATAAGCCATTTTCCTGGTGGAGGACTTTTTCTCCCTATTAGGTTCTGATTTCCTTTTTCTTTCTTTCTTTTTTTAATACCTGACATCTTTGTTTGCTTTGGTGTTGTGCTAGCATTGGTATGAAAGCTGGATTGTTCTGAGATTTGTTCTTGCGAGATGTGAAACAGGAATGAGACAAACATGTCTTAAATTTTAATTACGGTGGGGTCCCTAGGGCGCTGCCATGAGGGCCAGTGATAGAATGAGCTTCTGAAGCATTCTCTAGCTATTTTAGCATTTGACTGCTTGGAAGGATGTTATGACCCAGGGAACAGAGTGCTCTGGGGGAAAGGGATTTTTCATTCTTGACTCTGCAAACCTAGGCCTGTAATTGTGAACCCACCTATACCGCATGCCTTAGGGAAGCAGCTCCCAGCTAGTTCTGCTCCTCACGCTCGGCCCCCTGGCTCCTGTCCGTGAGCCCAGTTCTCTATTCTGTGCCTGCTTCTGACGAGCTGTTTGTGTGCATGTGCTGTGGTTTTGTCTTCACTTTGTATTGTGAGAACTGGGTGGAAAAGAAGGTAGAATTCAGACTGTGGCGGAGAAGCTGTAGTCTGAAAAGATGCGGAAGGGGGAACTGTACCATGGAGGGGATTCAGGCATGTGGGAGGGTGCTGGTGTGGGGTCCCTTCAAATGCTCTTTTACACCCATCCTGGAAATTCAAAGCTGGTTAACTGTTCCTCTTTCTTGGGGACGACTCATGGGACACTTGGTCTGGGAGGTGGGTATTGCTCAAGGGAGAACCCTCCTTTTTGGCTGGCTTTGTCATTGTTTTAACTCAGGTGGATGTGGCTTGGCTGCCTAAATATACCATCTTGGTTTTAATGCAAAGGTCAGAAATGAAGGAAGGTAGAAAAGAGGTCTCCTTTGGCCGGAGGGAGAAAGGATAGGTTATAGGTGGGCTAAGGGGGTTTCTCTTAATCATACCTGCTTGATTATGCCACTGCAGCCTGCTGCCACCGCTGCCTTCAATGGTAGTACAAAGGCTAGTAAGGAACGCGTGGCAGCCACCCTGCTGATCCCGCACAGGAAGTAACGTGTGTGCAGAAAGTCCCACCCTTCTTTGACTTCCATCGGGGTGTTAGTTTGCTGTGTCACAGGCCGCATGGCACAGCGCTACCATGGGCTTCTGTCTCCAAGTGGTACCCCAGAGACATGGTCTTTAAATGTCTCATTTCTGGGAAATTCTAATAAATGTGTCTTGCGAGAACTTACCAAGTTCCAGATATAGTTTGTTAAAACCTTTTTTTTTTAAATAAAAGAAACTGCTACTATAACGATAGATCCTTGCATTAATATTTAGTTCTCATTACTTAATGGTTTTTTTTTTTATGATTCCATTTTTTATTGTTTGGGATATAATTCCATTTTTCACCCCAGAAAGTCAAAAGGTCTGTTTTTTCTGATAGTATCTCATAAGTGATCTTAATACTGACCCAAATATAACCTACTAATTACCCTCTGTGTACCTTCCAGACCCTGATTAGTTGTATTTAGCATTTATATGAGACTGTGATTCTACTCTTAATGGTGTTTTTATATTCATGTAAAAGCTTTGTGTGAATGTACAAACAACATTTCTTCCTGTCGCTGTCTGTTTCTTCCTCTAGTTCTGTGTCCTACATAGACAGAGCCGCATTACTCAGGAGCAGCCTTGTCTTCCCTGGACTGCAGACTGGATTCCGACAGCATCATTCTGAAAGCCGGCAAGCATCACCTTCTTGCTATTGGGAACTCAGCACACTTGAACTTGGGTTTGTGATTCAGTATTAATAGATCATGACTTCACTAATTCTTTATATGATAGAACCGAGAGAAATATGGGCACTGTTTCAAATTCTAGGGATGGTTTTTGTTTTTTTCAACCTGCTACTAATTATGAACTGTTCTATTAACAGAGTAAGGGGGAATGATCTTAATTGTGCATGTATTGTATTTTTCATTAACTGACAGTCTGCCCATTGAGTTTCTATGGCTTCTACGTGTACACTGCACTGAAGAACTAGATGAACGCTTTGGGAGAGTTATGCTGTAAATTCAGTGATGGCAAGAACTAGTGCTGATTTTTATGAGAATTGTCAGTATAAATATTACCTACCAGTATTGTCCACAGAGACTGAAACTTGACAAACTTGGGGTGTTCTTGGGGAAGCAAAACCAGATTATGCATTACTTTGGCTTCATACTCAGCATCAAAACGGTCCAAGAGGACTGATGTTATAGCTTGCTGCTTTTTTTTAACCATTGTTCAAGTTTTCAACATTAAGTTGCCATTCACTTCCAGAATCTTTTGTTACTTAACGTTAGATGTTTAAATGTTCTGTTTCCTGTCTGTGAGGAAGTGTACTTAAAAAGGGGTCTGTATCCTTTAAGGTGCTTGAGAAACTCTGTGCTGCAGCACTGCCCGCGCCCCATCACCGTTTCATTTTATTCACGCATGTGTGTGTTCCCCAAATACTAATTCTACAAACAGCTACTCATGGATGTAGCACTGGTCATGAGCACGTCTGCCAGTTCCAGTCAAGTCATTGGCATCCAATAAATTAAAACAGAAAAGCATTGTGTGCTTTCGGAAGCCTTATTTTGGGCAGTCATTGTTGGTTTTTCCGCCATGCCGAACCGGGTCCTTTTCCGTTATTGCACGTGGTCTATCATTAGCGCGAGTGAGCTGGTGAAACCCTGGTTACCCCACGTTCCTCAGGAGGGGAGAGGGGCCTTGGGAAATTGTGCTGAGCCGCTGTGGAGTTAAGAGAAGTCCTGCTCCCTTTCTGTGGCTGTGACATTCCAACAGCTATGGAGCTCCCTCCCTCCCTTGGGTAACCCAAGTAAGAGTCTGCATGGGACCTGCCATCAGGGGGCTTTCACATTTCCACGTTAGCCTCTGTGAGCATGGAGGGGTGTCGGCATTGGCGTTCCTCACTCCACTCGGTAGCCAAGACAGGACTGCAAAAGCAGCAGTTGGGGTTAAATTATGTGCCCGCTTGACACGTCAGCTGATTTTCAGGGGTATGTGAAACTCGAGAGGGTATCGTTGTTTTATTCAGTGTCTTACGTGGAACTCATTTGCCCCTTCACTTGCATTGGTGACCATGCACACTTACACAGTAATAATAATTTGATCTGAATTTACACACTTTATACCGAAGAAATACAGCGTTCAAGTGTACGCAATATAGTGAAAGTGCCCTTGGGGGTAGTTTTTTTTGAAGTATGTCAATAATGGTCTGTTTATAACACCTTCTGAAGATGGTGCTTCTGAAGTCTAGGAAAATATACCTATTTTTTCCCATCAACTCCAGGTCCCTTTGTAGTTGGGTTTGTCCTGACTGGGCTTGGCTCTTCAGTCAGTAGTCAACCACTGCAAGGTCTCCCACCACAACCATCTTGGACATAGGGAGCATGTTCCGGACTTCTGATGGACACAGGTAGGTTTTTGTCTCCCCTGAGAACAGCACCCCCATGCCATGTGCTCTGGGGGGCACCTGTTCACAGCAAGGAATCCTTGGGGAAGACCAGCTTGCCCAGAGGGGGTGAGGGAGGAGGTTGGCTCAAGGGGGAGGGCGTTCTCCTGACACTGGAGGTTCACAGAACTGACAACCTTTTAAAGACAGTTCGTCTTTCTGATCCTCATCTTTCAAAAACTATATTGTATAACTTTGACTCCAAGTGTTTATCTACTGCTAAGAACCAAGCTGTAAATAATCCCCTTCTTTGTTTTTTGAAGAAAGCAAAAACAAACCGTAGAACTACAGTGCACTCCAAGTGCCATATATCTATTTTATTCTTCAGGAAATTATATTTGTTTTTCTTTTACAAGAGCACAACAGGAACAAAAGTAAAAGAGTAATAGATACAGCACTCAGGATAAATCATATCTTTAAAATAATAATAAAAAAATTTACACCTTGTCCTATATCCTGTTAGTATTTTCATAATATGGCCATGATTGAAAAAACAAAAAGCAAGCATTTACAATTTTTTTTTTGATAAAGACTTTTTATGCCAGGAATGGATTAATTGTCAACAAAATTTAGACTAATCAGGCTGATGTCAATCTATTTTGGTAACATCATTAACAAATTTATTTTGGAAATAGATAAAAATATTGCCCCTTGATAATAAATCTTTTTTTCCATTGATGCAAACAGCTAGAACACCTTTTTCTTTTTCTTTTTGATATTCTAAGACAAAAAAAAAATGGTTAATCTTCAGATTAATAAATTAGGTCATTATAATAATAAATTAATTTTTTTAAAGTTCAGCAACCTCTGTCCAAGTATTTACAACAATACTTGAAAGTTCCTTTACAAAACAGAACACATTTTCTTTTCACATTAAGCATACTGGGTATCTGTGTCTTTCACAACAAGCATTTTTAAAAGAAAAATCAATGCACAAATGGGTAATTAGTATAAAAGTGCTAAGAGCTGTTTGAAAAGTTAACACTATAGTATACAGTCAGTTATATTTGAGGCAAACTACAACAAACTTCCAGCTTATTGTGGACAATATTCCAGTAGTTGTTTCAAACAGTTGTTTGAAGAAAAAAAAAAAATCCAGGAGCTGATTAGTGATGCAGATAAAAACTGCCATCAATGTTTCTGGCCAGTGAGCGAATTGAAAACCAACTGAAAGCAAATCAAATGAGGAAGATTTTAATAAGGAAGACCCCTTTCCATAGCAGGTGCAGTGCTGACTGCTCAGGGTGGGCGTGCTCACAGCATCCACATCCACAGACTCACACATACATACACACACCTTTCTAATCAGACTGCAAGTAGAATGAGATTTGGTGTTATTAACAAAATTTGTAAGTGATCAAAAGCATCGATAATGGAATGCCTGTTTATCTGCCTTTGTACTGGTTAAAATCTCATAAAAATACATTCAACAGGAAAACATAAATTGTATGTGTATAAATATATATGCACATATATATTATATACACATGCACACAAATACTTTTGTTTTCTGAAGCATAAGATAGTTACATAAATATTCCTATAATTGCTAAAGTTCAAAGAGGCATAATTTTTTTTGAGCTTCAACAAAGGTGCTTGAATAATATACAATTAAAATGAAGTAGTTTCTATTTTGTGGAATCAGTATATAACAAAGGAAAAAAAAATCCCCAAACAGTCCTTTTTTTCTTTTTTAAAAAAAGTCTCTTCTTAAGCTAGAGCTTCAACAGAAACTACGAACAACCATAGAACAGAACAAAGCAATGACACACAGTGAAGGACAGCCCCTGGAAATGCCTGGTTCTTCGCCCTCTCCCTCCTTCCCGCCGCGCTGACGTAAGAAAAGCTCCAGTGCTCACATCAAGAAATGACTTAGATCATGTTCATGTGCTGACTCTGCTAGGAACTGGCTGATTGGCTTGTAAGAAAACAAAAGCAGCAAAAAGTATAACTGTCTCTATCTTTCATAACCCGCTTTAGAGAAATGTCGCTATCGCATTCCTCTGGCTTCCTCACTGCCTACTGCAGTCGTGACTGTATAGAAAAGAAACTTGTGGCTTTAGACCTGGGATGGCTATCAAAGGTTCTGATGCGCTTGTCTGGTAGTTTTTAAGGTGGTTATGGCAGCTGGGTCGCAAGGCCTTTTTTGTTTCCTGCTCATTCAGGCTTGAGCTCTGCAGCAACCAGTACAGTCTTCAGAGTTAACAGGAAAAAAAAATATCCTCTGGACCACTGAACTGCTTTTATTTTACTAGATTTCTCCCCGAGCCAAGCTGACCAATGTTTCTTCCCACCACCACCACCCTCCCACCCGTTTCCCCAACCAAACTCACTGTCCCCACCCCCAAATATCTCTACAGCTATTTTACAAGCAAATATATCTTAGCAACTTTAAAAACTTTGGTTCTAAGAAAACACTTGGTCAGTTATCTTGAGGAAAGGTGGGAATGCTTGTTCTGCACATTGCTGTCGACAGAGCCCATCCCAGGGAGTTCTTAGCGCTGTACATCAAGTCACAATCCAAGACAATCCACTAAGCAAGTGCACAGATTCTAGTTTACTTTTAAGAGCAGATTTAAGTCATTTTCTGTCTTTTGAAACCTCATCCAAGTTGCCTTTTTTCACACTGTTTGGTAGAAGTTGTCTGCCTGTAGATGGTTCTGTTTTTGCATGCTGTAGAAGCCACTGAATCTTGCATCTGGTTCAGCAATTCTTAGCATTCTCTGGGAACTTTCTACCTGGACTCTGGTTCCTTTCTTGCAGTCCACAGACACCAGCTGATTATTTAAGGAAGAAGGCTATTTAAGGAGAAGAGGAAAAAGCACAAAGAATTAGCTGCTATACATATCCCAGATGAACAGAAATTTAGCACCTAATTCATGAAAGATAAGAGTTTCACAGTCCACTGAGAGGGCTGTGTGTGGGGTATTACATCCTATTCCCGTAGCAGCTATCCTTTTATGTGGTATACTGACAGACTGTATTTAAAGGTGGAATGTCAAGAAACTATGTCATACAGGGAGATGGAGGAACTGAAAAAACAAAAACGAAAGACTGGTGAGATGGTCTTTTCAAATCCTTGAAGTGTTTAATAGGGTTGAAGAATGATAGGAAGTTACTGGGTAGGCAGATCTATAAACAAACGGGCACTTTCCAATCACGCAGGCTGTGTAACAGCATCAAAGCGGGGCCAGCCCATCTGTCCCTAGTTATCTCATGTGCTTTCCAAGAAGGGTCTCTCATCTCAGCTTTGGACAGTGCAACCCTGTCTCCTGACCCAGCAGAGAGGCTGTGCCCAATGCATATGTGTCAAAAGAAAATCAGGGGATCTGACAGAAATTCTATATAGAAGGGTCTACATGGTAAACTGGATTAGGGCTGTTTTCAAATTTTAGGATTGTATGATTGATCAAAACCAGCTAAGTGCAAAAGGCAGAATCAGAGTTGGATGGAATTATGGTTTCTTTCAATATAGTTCTTTCTTCCCTTTAAAATAGATGTGGAGGCCCTTTGTATTTATATCGAAAACAAACACATACTCTTTGCCCCCTGGTGTGAATGTGAACTCGGCCTCGTCTACCATTATTTCCTACCATTTCATCATCTATGGCTCCCTTCTCACCTCTGCTTGCACCTGACGCATCGAGCTGGCCTGTGGACTTCCCGTATACTAACTTCCAGCTTTCTTCCTGCCCTCTCCTGACTATTATCTCCTTTTCTCATTTTTTTTCTCTCCTAGTTCTGATACATGACTGAGAAATTCCAGGTGATCAAGTTTCAATGTCTAATATGAACAAAAATGATTTAGGCATCAATCCAGAGGAACTGTTCATTTGAAAATCTTAAAAATACATCAAGCAAATTTGATCCATGAAAGGTCAGGATTCATTAACCAACAGATAATGGGTAATTCACCCAGTGATCAATCTAGCCCTAGGCAATTTACTATATATCTGATTGCTACCTCCTGATGTATATTTGAGGCTAAGAATTGCAAAGTAAAAATTTCCCTGATTAATATAAAAGATAGATTAAGCAATTTTAAGGAAGTGTGTGGAAGCTTTCCTAGTTTCATCATTCAAGAGACCATGACCTTCTCAGGACAATACCTTAGTTGGTGTTCGATACCAGCAAAGCAGTGGTATCCACTGTTTCTTCTGGTTGATGAATAGGAATGCTATTATAATAGAGAGGCATATTATTATAGGAACCACAACCAAGGCAACTGAGTCCAGTGGAGAATCTTCACTTGGATGCAGCCTGTTGTTATCTCTGTAATCTACCTGGAGGTGACCAATATCTAGAAAAAAAAAAAAAAAAGAATTTCTAAGGATTATTTTAGTTACAATACATTGAAAATAGATATCAGCAATTTGGATTTACTTTTTCTTAGTACTTTGAGGATAAAAATATTAATGTCTAATGTTGATCCACAGGTCTCTTGGTTCAGAGTGCTTAGGGATGAATGTAAAAAAGAAAAAAAATCAGTAAGAATGTTAAGAATTGGGCAAGAAGATCCTGGTTCTAGCTAATCAAGAAAATAAGATGCTTAGGTAGATTTTTAAAAGTGGCTAAATTTAGACTATAACACATATTCTGATCACTATTAACTTACATGGCCTTCTAAGATTTTGAAGGAGAAACGTTAGCTTAGCTTTGTGCTTGCTGACAAATAGACTAGGACAGAGTACATCCTTCCACTTACTAGTGTAATAGCTGAGAGTGATTAGGTCAAAAACCAAACCAGAATCAGGAGCTTGGTCTTTTGGTTGATACCCTGGTTCACTAGGCTCTAAGCAAAAATGCTTTCCTTTTCATAAAAGATATTGAAAAGTTCATTAGGCCTATTTGGTCATTTTCTTGCCTTAGCTTAATTATACTGCATATTTTATAAGCTTGCTCTTATGAATGAAGACATTTCTGTTCTTTTAAAATACTGTTCTTATAATGAATATTGCAAAGATAAGGTTAAACATACACTGATCAGGGGCCCTCTCTGAAGCCTCCTTTTATTTTGTTTCAAATAAATCATCGTAGTCAGGTTTTCTAAATGCACTGAAGGCTAATTTAGTCAGAGATACAGGCCACATAAAATCAAAAGGAGTTACAGTTAGATTGTTCTGGAAACTCAGCTCACAAAGTAACATGACTTTGTGATATGTAAGACTGTCTATGATTTGAAACTTAGATTTTTATTTATGTGTTTCTGTGTGTATTCCAGGAGGGTGGAGGGGAGAAGGAATAGAAGAACATTCCTAGTTGATACTACATAGGAACACATACAGAGTGGACATAAAGTTCATGTGCAATTTAAAATAATTTAACATAGTAAATTGCACACAAACTTTATGTCCGCCCTGTATTTATCAATATCAAAAAAAAAATGCCAAAGAACAACACTGTTTTTGGATTAATTCAGATCTTTAAATACACAATGAATAAAAGCATGAATTTTACATGCCCATATTCCAAATAATACAGAAAGTGGTTTTAATAATGTACATGTCATACAAGAAGATTAAAAAGTAAATTAAGGAAAGTCTTGGTGAAAGGGAGCTGGAGCTGAACTGAGGTCTATCTACAAAACTCAGCCCTCCAGTTCTGCTGCTGTGTTAAAACCAAGGCAGAGATATTAGATTTGAGCTTTCTAGCAGCCAGAACAAAAAGCAGAAATAAATATGAGTAAGATTCACAGTGTCTTTTAAGATTAAAACAATTCAGTTGCGTGGGAGAAGCATAAATTTTCTTGCTTCTGACACATGAGGAAACTCAGGGACTTTATAAGAGGGACACTGGGCAACGCACAGGTCTCCGGCAGGCTACGGTAAGTACGGCTGTGCTTAGGACCCAAGCCTATCATGGAGAACGGTGCTGGCACACAGCAGGCACTAAGGTTTGCGGGCTGGATGAATGTAAGCATAATGCTAAAGCACCCTCACTCAGAGCAATTATACAAGAGCCAAAACACTAGGTCCAGGAATTTGGCTCTCTGGTCATCTGGCTTGGTCCAAGCATAACACCGAGACTATCTAGAGTAACAGACAATTAATCTCTCGAGCAATGAATACTGCTTCTTCCAAAAGAAATATTATAAAAATTGTACAGCAATGATTTGGAAAATGTGCTTAGAGTAGATAGGAGACAGTCCTGAGTCACGGCTAAGAGCAAGTTTACTCTGTTTTGGTCAAGAAGTTTGCTTTTATAAAGAAGGAAATACTGGCAGCTGACAAAGTGACATCTTTATTATACACAACTGAAAGGACAAGACAGGACAAGGGGGAAAAAAGCACGGAATTATCCCGGTGACCAGAAAAATCAACACATATAATAAACCAAACTCTCACAAAGTCAAAAATACCCAGAAGAAGAGGGTGACCTAAGGTGTAAATGTTTAGTACAGAATCCACAGGGACAATGAATAATTATTACTCTGATTACGAAGCCCAGTCACCATGCCAACTGGAGAGAAGGCTTGGAGATTCCAGGTGCAAGCTCTTGTGACTGGAGCATGTTCTGTCCATCAACACAAAGTCTCTGAGCACGCAGGGTCAGGGAGGAGGCATTTAATACTACTACCTGCTGACTCTTAATTAATGTGTGGTGTTAAATGTATTTCAGCAAAGTGCATTTTTCCCTGCAGTAGTTATCTGATTCACTTGGGCAAACCCTTTAAGAAGTTACTCACAAGACATTCTAAAAACTTATTAAAAAAACCCAAAATAGACCACATCTCAACTGATGTCAGTGCTTACCTCTAGGAAGATGAATGTCATTTTCACCAGGTGTGGGCCACATGGGAACCTCCAGGTCAGTCTCTCCACGATGATTTGTCTTCTCAATGGGTATATTGGTTGCTTCTGGGATATACATTTCTAAAAGAAGGGAACATTTTTCATAAGAGATGATGGAGAAGCTGTATCTTATCACTGGCTTCTGTATCCTTAATCCAAATGGTACTCGCTTCAATACAGTATTTCCTGGGATATGAAAGATCCAGTTTCCACATTTAACATCACTAATGCTAGCAAGTTGCTAGCCTGCAATGGTGGGAAGCTCAACATTTGAAAGAAAAAAGAGTTTTTTTCTCCATTAGGGTCAAAAACTGCTTTTTCATGTCAAATGGTGTTGACTCCATGGTTTGTTGAACTGAGGGAACTGGCTGAAATGAAAGGATTTCTTTTATTTTCCGTCAGCTGAATATCTTTAATCCACGAGTGAATTATTTATATAAAACTTGAAAAGAAGTTAAAGCATTGTCTACTCTCAATACATTTCTTGGCCATTTCCTCTTTTCTGTCTCCCCCTAAATGGGAATGGGCTGTAGGCAATTATGTCCATTATGTCACTAGTGGAACTGTTTAGATTGCATACTGCTCTTCAGTACATATATTTACATTATCTAATCATCTAATCTAATCGAATCCAATCATGTGGGCATTGTTCAATCTACAACATGAAACCAAACTGTCTGAGAAGTGTATTCTTCCATCCAAATATCAGGTCTTTTTTTTTTTTGAAGGCAAATGCTAAAAGGGACCAGTATAAAAGTTAAGTGCTTTTTTTGGGTCCTATTTTTATATCTATACTTCATCTAGCTGATCACAGCTAGCCCCACATTCTAAAGTCTTAAGAAGCTCTGTTTTCAAAATGTGATGATAAAAGTCTCCATCACTCACGTACTTCCTCTTGGTGAGATCCTGCCATCTATAATTCTAAATACTCAGTACAGCCTAATTTAGACCAAAACAAAATACATTGTCTGTAAACTGAAATAGGGCTGATGATCCTTTTCACGCAAAGTTATTGTTTTCTGTCTCAGGGTTACCAGGCTTTCAAAAAGTAAATCTTAAGATGAATTGAAGAGACAGGAAAGTGGTAGAGAAGAGAGTTCCTGCTGAGATTCCACTGTGAGTTAAATAAATACCCAGCCAGGGAAGCAGACTCAAAGAGTTAAGTAAATTGCTTAAGATTGTGCTGAGATTCAAGTGTAGTTCTGGGATTCCAAAGCCCAAGTTTTCTTGCTGCCTCCAAGAACAGTCTTTTGCTTTCTTACGTGTAAGGCCTTCCGACATGCCAAGAACTAGGAACTATCATAGTTTCCAAAGGTTCTCTGGGTCCCTGCAAGTTCTAGAAGTAAAAATAGTTTTCACTAAAAATATGTGCAGGAGTATGGTGGGCCTGAGTACAAATCAGAGATTCTCAATGTTTTCTTTTAATCGCATCAGGCTCACCAAAGAGCTTACAAACTATTGATTCTCACGGGTCTTCATCTGATAGGTCTGGATGAGGTCATCCTGCGATGTTTATGTTTGTAGGGGGTATTTAACTCAGCTGCTGAAAATCCCTGGTATGGTCCTATGAATTTCCTGGATGAATATGGGCAGAATACGAGCCCTCAGTGTCAAAGGCGAACTGGTTTGTATCACCAGACCTGTGAATGTCAAAGGCTAAGTAGCAAAGGCCTCTGAAGAGGTCTCAGAGCTAGGCTCAGTTCAGGGCCACCTCAGGTTTTTTCCTGGGTAGGAGCAGTACAGAAGCAGCTTTGGAATTCTTGTGCTCTCAATTTGCACCTGGTAGATTTCAGGTGAAACCCATCAAACAACAGATACTTGTGGGCCTGAGTTTCCCTCCCACCAGGGTTTAGAAAGGCAAGTTGCAAGGATCTGCTTTCTTCAGTGATATCACCATTGTTCAACAGAAGTTTCCTGAACACCCTCCGTGGCAGGCACTGGTCTGAGTTTTGGGGATACAGCTGTGAGCAAGACTAATCTGGCCCTTCAGGAGTCTCTCCTGATGACCAGTGCTTGACTGCGTCTCCCATCTAGCAGCTCATGGCCTGCCCAAACTCAGTGCGGCTCTGATAAAAACCCACCCACACCTACTTTATAATAAGTTTATAACAGTTCCATTTCAGAGTCCTCAAGTCCAAGGGAAGAGGGTCACCTCCCTCTAATTTGAACTCAAGAGGGAAGCGCCCTCTCAGCAGTTTTGTCAAAAAGAATAAAAATCTTTCGACAAAAAACTGCTTATAGAGACAAAAAGGAGTGAGGATGCTATTTGTTTCCATGCCTAGATCTAGGCCTTCTACGGTCAAAAACTGCATTCAATCGCAGACTCTGAAACATACCCTTTCTGCCATTTACTAGAAGAGCCCTTTATAGCTGCCAGCATTGCAGATAGGCAGAGACTGACACAAAGCCACATCCAGCCTGGCCATGAAGACCATGGCCAGGTACATAGTCACACTTAAGAATTACTCCTGTGGTCATATTTGATCTGAACTTCAGAGGGACTCAAGGTAGTTTACTGGGGATTTATTTTGCTTTCAGAGGCATCTGGTCAGTTTTAAGAGTTATCTTCCTTAAAATGTCCTTTTTTTCTGGAATACAGGGCAGGATGCCTGGAGCTCACAAGCTAAGGGCACCACTTTTTTAGGGAAACAAAACCTGAAGTCAATTTAGAACCAAGAGTCCCATATTTTCTGCTAACTAGCTACGTGACTTTGGATAATTAACTTTGCTGAGCCTCAGTTTCTTCTGTAAAATGGAACAAGTACTAACCAGCTCACAGGTTCTGTACTCATGCCCACAGACAACTGTGTCCAGGGGAGGCTATTCAGAACGTAAGCTGCTATGTCGAGAGGACAATGTTTGCTGGACAGACCAGGCCATGCTCCCACACCATCGTCTTAGCCCTCCTCACAGCATTTTTGGGAGCTGGCATATGCTATCCAGGTGAGAAAGGGAAGCCTGAAACTTGGGGGAAGAGCCTTGGCTAAGATTACCCAGTGAGCTGATAAGAGAACCTGACAGGAATCCAGCCTGCCTGGCCACCCACACTGGATCAGATAGGAGATGGCAAAAGCTTAACTGAATGCAAAATTTGCTTAGAGATGAGATGGAGAAGTGATGCATCAATATTACAACAGATGCAGAAAGAAGAGTTAATCAACAGAAATTAAATTTCATCCCAGCAATAAATAAAAACTACAAAGTTGCTGGAGAAATCCCAGGAGATGAGCAAAGATGCCAGCAATATTTGTGGTCTCTCTTACTAACCTCGCAAACCAAGAAGAATGACTATTCCTACCTCCACCACCTGAACTTGGGTTCCTACCGTCACCCCCAGGGCATCTGTAGTGCATGTTACGACTGTTCTGCTTCCTGGTCTCTGTCTGCTTTGGACTTTCCTGGGATAGGGAACCTGCAGCCTTTTGATTTCAAGATTATTCTTTGTTAAGCACCAAGGGAGACAAGAAAAGCATCATCTTTCTTTGCTGCATCCCTTTTAATAGAAGGATTTGTTCTGTAAAATTTGGATTCAGTTGAAAGGCTATTCTGAAGTACTGAGGAGGCCACATGTGGCTGTAGGCTGCAGGTTCCCCACTCCCACCTGCAATCATGTCATTCACCTGCTGAAAAAAGTGCCTCCCTACTCTCTACAAAGGACCACATCTACACTCTTCATTTGGTAATTAATGCCCTAAAAATCTTGGCCAAAGTTACCTCTTCTGTCCTTACCTCTTTCTACTTGAACACCTGAGGTATGACCTTGACCTTTCCCATCTCAGGGTCTTTGGTCAGCTTACCCTCTTCACTGTAATGAAGAGAGTCCAGTTGTCCTTTGAGATCTAGTAAAATCCTTTCTCTGTGAAACCCTCCAGGGCCACTTGACTTCACAGGAAATCATACTCATGACCTCAGCACTCATGGTCTGTATCTAGAAGTGTATAACTGCTGTGCCCAGCTCACGTCTCCTGTTGCTCTGAAACTACTCTAAATTAGACTCTGCCTCCACTTGCTTAGTGAAACCACTGTCAGGAGGATTATGACAATGTTGAGTGTACAACAGTTTCCACTGCTCATCTTCTCTGCTAATGGTGGCACCTGATTCAGCTTTTACTCCCTCCTACCTGAAACCTTTCTCCATTTGGCTTCCAGGATGCTGACCCTCTGAGCTTCCTCCTTTGAACCTAGTGCTCCTTCTCCATTTTCTCTGCCAGAGCCTCTTCCCCTGCCCAGTCTCTAAAAGCTGGAGGGTCTCAGGAGGCAGTGCTGGGTGCTCTCCTTCTCTATGGACCATCCCTCCTTAGGTGATCTCATCTAGTCCATGCTTAAAAGCCATCTAAGGCCAACAACATCCATATTTGCATATCAATTTCCTATCTCCGTCCTCAACCTCTGATTAGATGATCACCATCTATTCATTATCTCCAGGTCTGATGTCTAATGGGTATTTCTAACTAAAAGTGCCCCAAACCAAA